GCAGGGTCTGAGCTCCAGCTGTGGGCTCCAACAAACACCCCAATTCAGTTCTGGAGCTGCTCCCAGTTTTAAAGGCCAGGCCAGACGTGTGCACAGAAAAAGGAGAGCCTGTGTATTCCCCTTCCCCCCACACTGACCCTTCTGTCAAGTGAATGTTGCAGGCATGGTTTGAGCCCTGAGCAGAGGACAATGTCCCCATGGCACCATCCAGCTGTCCTTACAGCTGGATTTCAGCATCCTCCAAGGCAGGAAAGGAGACAGAAGAGCTGCCCAATATCAAGGCCATGGGGGAGCAGCCGGGTAGTCCCAATTTAAATCAGAACACAAGAACTCATGATTCAGCATTAATGCTCAAACAAACCCTTCCCACCCCCCACCAGACTGTGACTAGTTGACTGGTGAAACCTATGTGCAAATTTGTACCTAAATATAGATGTTCTGCTAAATTTGGCAAATCTCTCCTTACCAAGGGATTGCAATGCATATTTATGTAATTATACAGTAGTATTTCACATCTTTACTTTCTACACCTATCATTAGAAAACAGTTGCTGACATTTATTTTAGGTCATGTACTCAACTGGGTCAAGCTGCACTAAAGGGAGACCCAAGTTCTGCAAGAAACCTTAGAAATCAGTTCACTGTAAAATGTTATTGAATAGGATTAACCATAGCTACACTGCTTGTTCTGGTTACCACAGGCCAGATTTGCAAAGTTACTGAGATACCTACCAGGATTTTTCTGGAAGTTAGATGCCTAATCAGACTGGGAATTAAATGAACACCCTATTAACCAGCTCTCTGCATCTTGAAGAGTCATCTCAGTACTTTTGGAAACCTGAACATGTTATCACTTGATGTTTTCTAATCAGTGAATAATTTCTGGATAAAAATTTTACATTTTCTTCCATCTTTCAACTTTGAAAGAGCTTGTCAAAAGAAAAATATCAACTGCTAAACTGAAACCTACATTTTTCAGAGAAAAATTTTTCTGTTTAATACTATCTACCTGAATTTGCATCCACTTTTTGAATTTCTGTTCCTTATGGTAAATAAAATGCTGCTATTTACATTGTTTCTAATACAATGAATGAGTATTACATTAACCTCAGAAGTCAAAAGATGCATTGTGCACACCATTTACAAAGCAGATCCATGTTAGGAAGGTTCAACAATGCAGCAATGACTTTAACAGACAACACTGTTAATTTGAAACAAACTATGTATTTACTTTGAATTTGAAACCCAGTTTAAAAATTAAAAGACCTCAGTTTGAGTGGAGGGGGACCCCAGACAAAATCTCCAGGTACTGAACTGCTCTGGAGTGCATGCCATTCAACTACTCATCCTACTCCTTGTAGGAGGTATGTTATGTCTGATTTTTAATTATGCTTTATGTAAATATCCCCAGAGGCTTATGCAATAGGTACAGGCTTAAGTAAGGCGAACTGGTGGAGGCAGCTCAGGAGAGGGAAGCCGAGAGCTGAGCTGACTCCATAGCCAAGGGCTGGGTGAGCTCCAGTTGTCACTGAAGGCCTCCAAACCCCTGAATAACAAAATATGAGAGATTTGCTACATTTGTACACTCGATGCCAAAAGCCACTTACTGTACCAAGCTCCCAGATCTGGTACTTGTGTCGGCACCGCCAGCTTCTGCTACTTGGTTTACAACAGCTCAGCAAACGCACCATCCCCAAGCACTGACACAACCACATTCATCACTTGCTTCAACTTCTGCCTGCCACACTTTTGCTGCTGGGAGGGTTTCTGATGAGGACCTGCACTTTCTGTGGCCTCCAAAGACCCCATGGACATGCACTAAATCAGCACACCTTCACCTTGACCTACAGGCCTCACAGCCAGGTTGGAGGAGGCTGTTTAATGCTTGTGCCTTTGGCACCACTGTAAGTGCCAGCAAAATTCACAAGGAGTGGTAATAATACATTTAAAGTCACACCAAAAATCTCACTCTAAACAAGTTGCAGGCTGTGTTCACACCCTGATCAAGCTTAGAAGGCAACTAAGCAACTATTTGCACTGAGGTCAAAACCACCTCATTTCTCAGGCTGCAGCCAGCGGTGGAAGTTTATCTGAGCACCCAGGAGATCCACAGCAGCCAGTTTTCCACAGGAATAGCACAAGCCTCCTGGCCTCATCCCTCCATGCCCAAAGACATGCTTCAGCTTGCAATTGTTTCTATTTGCATGTGATAATTTTAACTGGTAATTCTAGAAAATATTCTGCACAGCTGCATTCAAATTTCACCTTGTGGACCTAATACAACTCATCTGTACAGGATTCACTTTAGTCCTTGGTTTCCCAACCAAGAGCCTGGTCACTACCATAGGCAGGCACTGAGCTAGGAAACCAGAAAGCTTTGATTTTCTCCCAGTTCTGCAAGCCAGGACAAATGGGGCACACCCTCTTCACCTGTAAAATGGGGACAGTACTCTCCACTGTAAAGTACTTGGAGGTCTCATCTAAGAAATGCAATATATTTTCAGAAAGGCTAGGTTAAAATATATTGCTCTTTTCATTCTCTAGATAAATACTTCATTACACTTGCTGTTCTGCACTCCGCTGATGGTTTTCTTTTCTAACTGATTTGCCATTTTGACCAGTCCAATTATTTTAGCATATTAAACTCAAACTAATACAAGGATACAAAACCTAAATACCACTGCGGACACGCAGCAGAGCCTACAGAATATTATACCATTATTTTTATGGCTTCAAAAGTAGAGAGAACAGATCAAGGCAGCATGGCAAAAACTCACTTTTTTTTTTTTTCATTTTTAATTCTCCCTTTTAGTTCTCACTAATTCCACCCACTGGTAATAGCTGAAGGCATACACCCAAAATCAGTGACTCATGGCACAAGACCACAGTCCAAACAGTGACTGACTAGCTTCTCAAAGCAGTGCTGTTCAAGAATTTCACTGTTCCATCCCTGGACCTTAACTGCCTTTTCTTTGCTCAAAAAAGACAACAAAACAAAAAAACCAAAGAGAAACACCCACCACTGACAACAGGTGCTTCCTTAGTTCTCAGAAAAAAAAAAGCTGAAGAAAAAAAAAATTAAAAAAAATTCTCCCTTGGTGCTCACAGCCATGCAGCCCAGCTTAGGCACATTCTTTCCACCCATGCTTCTTCCCCAGGTAACTCTCCACAACCAGAAACACAAGACAGAAGAACTCCCCAGGCAATTTCAGCTCAAAGATTAGCCCACCTCCTCTCCACATGTGGTGGAAAACTTCAAATATTTCAATTCCAATTAATTTCTTCTATTCTGTATTTTAAATAATGTACTTTTTTTTTTCCCCAGGTTTTTCAAATTAATCATTTAAGAACTGTTTGGGAACCTTTATTTTTTTGACCTCAATGGCAACCTCCCAGACACATTATTTATAATAGGCTGTCTTTCTTAATACTTGCTATTAGTCAAAAGAGTGCTTAGTAAACATCCTAGCTGTCCAATCTTCACATCCCTTAAATAATGGGGTGGGTTCAAAAGGGATAAGCTTTCAAAGTAGGACTCTGCTCACCTTGTAAAGAGCCACAAACACCACCCTGATGTAGCCCACTTCTCATTATTTTCCAGGTCTTGTATCTTCTGCTTTGTATCTTCAAAGATACATTAAAATGTGACATAAAAGACCTCCTAGAGAGTAGACACTCATTGATTACTTGTGTCCTACTCTATCTATGATAGGTCTTCCAGCTCCCCCAAACAGGTATGTACTGGAACACCTAAATCCATATGGGGTTGAACATGGATGTCCAGAACACCAATCACACAAGGAATGGTCACATACAAGTGCTCATCTGCCTGATCATTAGACTTGGAGTTTAGTTAAACGCCCTGCTGTTGGCACCACTTCTAATATAGCTTAGGTGGTCATGAGCAAAATGCAAATGTGGATCTGCATCAGTTTAATCACTTTTTTATTCAGATAAGATCTGGTTCAGGTTTCTGGAGGGCTGGACAAAATATGGCCATCAATAGAAGGCAAAAAATGTAGCCACAGAAGGATGAGTGCAGGCTCCTCTCCTTTCTTCTCAAAGAAGGAACAAGGACACATCCTGAGGTACACTTGCTTGGCCACCAAGTTAAAAATGGTATGTATCACCTTGGCTATTTTCTTTCTCCTACAGAAGCCCAAAATAACTGCAAAAAGCTTGCAAGCAGTAAGTAGCCACTCACTCCTGCTTTCCACTAAAACAATGTAAAGTCTGTGATCCAGCTGTGATCCCACCTTCTACTAAAAGAGTACTAAGGAATGAAGATTCACCCTTTGGTGCGGCAGTGACAGATAAAAGCCTTCATTTACCTTTTCTCCCTAGGCTACATAAAGCAGCATTAAATGCCAGTTAACAGGTCCAACAACGCTCCATTTGGGTTGGGATAAGGCCCCCGTCCCTCCTCCACACCCTCCCTTTAAACCTCTCCGCAGGTTTGGAAGATCAAAGAAAGACACCTCCACTACTCTCTTCCATTTTGTTGGGTAAGAAATATTACTATTGCATAAAAGCGTGTGTGTATAGCTATATCTACAGGAATTTATCCGTGTCTGGGAACCCCGCGTCCAGGGCGGCAATAGTGGGACTGACGGCTTCACTTTGTTCTCCGTCGAGTCGAGCAGGATCTCGCCTCCCCCTCCAAACCTGCTCCCAGGTGGAAGCGGCTCCTTGAGGTCAGGACACATCCTCACCCCGCTCGGCGGCCGCGGCGCGCAGAGGGCCCGGCCGCCCCCGGCCCTTCCCCGGGGCCGCCGGGAGGCGCGGCGGGGCGAGACCCCCGCGCTCGCTGCCTCCTCCCCGGCCCCGGGCCGCGCTGCCGTGCGGGGCCGCCGGGACCCGCCCATGGCGGCGGGAGGCCCGGGACGAGCGGGTGCGGTGCGGTGCGGTGCGGCCGGCGCGGCGAGCGGGAGGGCGGGCGGGCCCCGGCCGGGCCTGTCAGGAAGCGGCGGAGGGAAAGGAGGGCGGGCCAGGATCGCTCACCTCGGACACCTCGTCCTCGTCGCTGCCGGAGCCGCCGCCGCCCCCGCTCCGCAGCACGGCGGCCGCCAGCTTGAAGTCGAGGGCGGCCTCACCGGCCGCGGGCGCGCCGGGGCCTCCCGGCCCGCCGGGCCCGGCCTCTCCGAAGAGGCGCACGGCCCGCAGGCCCAGCGGGGAGGGCCCGGCCGCGGCGGGCGCCTCGGCAGCGGCGGGCGGCGCGCGGGGCGCGACCGAGTCGATCTCCTCGTCGGCGGCAGCGGCGGCGGTGCCGTCCGTGAGCATCGCGCTGGTCCGGGCCCGGCCGTCTCCGTCCCCTCACGGCACCGCGGCAGCGCCACTAACTTCTCACACCCTACCCGGCCGCGGCCGCCGCGCCGCCCCCCCGCCGCTCCGCGCACGCCTATTGGGCGCACTCGGGCGAGAGCGGAGCGCTATTGGCCGCGGCGCCTGCCACTCAGGGGCGCGTCACGCGCTCCCAGCATGCTGCCCTGAGAGCGCACGCCGAGGCGGTAAGAGTGCACCGCCCCGCCCCGCTCGCCCGGCCTCGCTTCCTGAACTTTCCGAGATATGATTGGTTCTCCGAGACATCAATCATGTGCCTTGGCGGAGCTGCGGGAGTCGATGGGGCAGGCGAGCTGTCGATCAAACTGCATGTAGGAATCACGGTTTTTATTGGTCGAAAGGTACATCGCTCACAACGCAAGGCGTCTGGCGTCTCCCGATTGGCTTCTGCATGCCCTGATCCCGCCTCCCCTTCGAACCCCTGTGAAGGGCTCCGTCAGAACGAGACGCCGTCACACGCCCGCCTGTTCCGAGCGGTGATTGGGTTGTGAAGCTGCCAATCAAACACAAGGGCACGCCTCCCTATGGCCCCGCCCCTTCCTGGGTGCGGGCCGCCATAGGCTGGGCTCCCTGGCTCACCGCTCCTTCGGTCACGCCCACTGTGACGTCACCGCACGGCCACGTGGCCCGGGGGTCTCGGGCCCCTCCGGGGGTCTCGGGCCTTGCGACCCCCGGACCGGGCGGGGGCTCCGCACAGCCCCGGCCCGGCCCCCGCCCGGCCTAGTTCACGGAGAGGTTGATCTGCGGTCCCGGGCGGTGCATCGGCTCGCACTGTGGGGGAGCGGAGGTTTCGGGGCTGGCACCGCGCCCACTCCGGGCGCCCCTGCGCCAGCGGCCCCGGGGCGGCTGTGACCGAGCGAGGATCCCAGGACAGCACCGACCTCCTCGGCTCTGCTCCCCTGCTCCGGCCGCTCCCGGGGGTGTGTCCCCGCCGCCCCCGGCCCGGGCAGGGGCCCGTCCAGCCAGCTCAGGTCGTGCCGGGAGAAGATGCGCTCCAGCCCCTTCCGGATCCCCACCAGCGCCAGCAGCTGCGGCCGCGCCAGGCACGGGTCAGCAGCGCTGGGGCCGGGGGACGGGCAGCATCTCTCTGTCACATCCCTGTCACCCCAGGAGATGCCAGGGTGGTGGCCTGTCACCCACCTGGCCCTAGGGGACCGAACTTGCCCAGCAGTGACATTCAGCCTCTGGTGACAGCCCCGCGGGCGCAGACCAGGGGGTGACGGCTGCTGGCAAAGCACCCCCAGGCACCACCCGCCAGCGCTCATGTCCCCTCCCAAAGGTTTATGCCGGGGCCGGGGTGGGCGGCACCCAGGCCAGCAGCAAAGCAGTGCCAAGGGGTGTCATACCATCACTGGGAAAATAATAGCGGCCACGGTGGACTTGAGAAGCCAGAGCAGGGCCAGGCAGAGCAGCTGGATGATGGTGAAAAGGTGCACGCGGCGCAGGGGCACGTGGCGGAGGTAGGCGAGGTCTGGCTGGTGCTTGGCTGGCATCAGGAGCAGCCTCACACGGTCCATGAACTGTAGCGAGAGGGTGGCAGGTGGGTCACACCTGTCCAGCTGCTGGGCAGCTCTCACCCACCTCCCTGTTGAGAGCAGGGCCAGCAGGATGGGGTTTCACCATCATTTCTGCACTTCAGCCCTCCTGCCCTCCCCTGTGCTGACCCCCAGCTGATGCCTGGGCCAATGAGTTTGTCTGCAAGACCAGGGGTCCTGGTGCCACTGTCACCCCAGGCCAGGGGAGTGCTTTCCAGGCAGACCTCTAGAAAGGACTCTTAGCTGCCTTTATAGGGTTAATGGAGAGATAACACCCCTTGGTCCCTCTCAATTCACAGGGAACTTCTGCAGCCTCCTCCAGAGCACAGCTCTGGGTTTCCCAAGCAGAGGGAGGGTGGGAGTTTCCCAGCCTGTCATCTAGAGCAGGGTAATTTCAAGGAAACGGTACTATTTAGAGGAAAAAGCGCTGTAGATAATTCTGGAATAGGGATTTTTTCCCTCTCCATTGGTTTCTTGGAAGAACAGAACTGGCACATGGGCAGCAATACCAGAACCAAAGGACTGTCATGTCCCAGTTGTGCCTGCAGCTCCCAGGTGAGGAAGTCCCTGTGGCTTTGAGATTAATTCTGTGTTATCCACTGGTCCCACTTCTCCCAAACCACCTGATCCATCAGTGCACAAGTTCCTCCTGCTTCTCAGCATCCCAGAGCCCTCCTTTTCCCTTTCCTTTGCTCTAAAAAGGTCCCTCTTTTCCTCCTTGTCCCAGTGGGTGACAGCTCCGTGCCAGGCTGTACACCACAGAGAGCTAAAATCCAGGCTCTGCTGTGCAGTAGCAGCTGTTGCTGAGCAAACCCCTTCCTCCCCAGCAGCACCCCCTCCCAGTGCAGCCCTCCCTCACCTGGATGCTGTTCAGCGCCGTCACCCCCATGTGCAGGAACACCCCGTACAGCACCGGCATCGGGATGTGCTGCAAGACAGTGGGGTGGGGGGATCAGTGGGGCTGTTCCCTGGGGGATCAGTGGGGCTGTTCCCTGGGGGGTCAGTGGGGCTGTTCCCTGGGGGATCAGTGGGGCTGTTCTCTGGGGGTCCGTGCCTGCTCAGTGTCCTCTCATGTAAAACCCTGCATGTGTGTCCACAGTCTTTGCTTCCTTTATTCCAAACAGCCCAGCCTGACCCTATTGAACCACTTGAGGTTCACATGAGCCTCTGTGGTCCCTTTGGATGGCATCTCATCCCCCAGGTGTGTCACTGCACCTCACCTTGGTGCCATCTGCAAACGTTCTCCATCCTGCTATGTCTTTGATGAAGATATTATATAGCGTTTGTCCAGTAGGAGCACTTGGAGGACACCACTTGTTACTAGTTGCCATTTGGACACTTGGCAACTGGCTGTAAATCTCTGGACATGACCATCCAACCAATTCCTCATCCATCTAACAGTTCTTCCATCAAATCCAGTTTGGAGGTGAGGCTGCTGGGAGGCCCCCAGATCAAAGACTGTGTGAGATCAGCCTCAGAGGTGAGTCAAGATGTTGAGGAAAAGGGGTCTCCTGTCCACCCACAGGTAATCCAGGGCCACTGGAAGGGTTTTTCCCAGCATGGCAGTGGCAGCAGGTGAAAACCAGCAGCAGCCAGGTCATCCACGTGGCAGTGTGGAGAGGTGGTTGTGTGTTTGGGGAGCACAAGGACCCCAATACACAGGTGACATGGGGCCACAGTGCCTTGTGTGCCAGCCCTCCCATGGCACTGGAGACAAACCCTTGGTGCAGCCCATACCCACACAGTGCAGGCTCCTGCCAGACAGGATTCCTGTGCTGCTTCCGTGGGGCAGGGTGAGGAATCTCCAGCCTTGAAGGGTATCCCTGCCTAGGAAAAGAGGCCACCCCAGCCAGGCTTCCTACCTTGAGCACAGGGGCCATGAAGATGGAGACTCCCATCAGGATGAAGACAGCCAGGCCTGTCAGCCTCTGCTCCCTGTGGGTGGCAGCACAGGTGTCACAGGTACCTGGGGTCCCTTGGGAGCCTACCCCCCTTCCTGCCCTCCAGGTCCCCTCTTTGCACTTTTGATGGCCACAAGGAAGGGGATCAGCTGTGGGGAGATCCCCAAAGCCAGGTCAGATGGACAGTGTGGGCATGTCCCTGTCCCCAGCTCCACAGCCGTGGAGGGCTCCCCAAGGCGGGGCCCAGGCTTGTTCACCTGATGCCCAGGAACTCGGGGTGCTCGCCGGGGGCTGAGGTTGCACTCTCCTTCCTCAGGCTCTCCATGTGTGCCAGGGAGATGACAGTGGCTGAGACATACCAGGGGAGGCCGGTGACAGAGGTGACAACCATCAGGAGGGAGACGCAGAGGAGATCCAGGTGGAAGCCTGCTCCTTTCTGCAGGGGAAAAGGCAGCAGGGCTGGGGGCATCTTCCCACTTTCCTGGCCAGTTTGGGGTTCTGCTCTCCCTGGCAGCTTCCATGGGATTCAGGCAGGACCTGGATCCTCCTCATTGGCTGGTGCTGCCTGTTCCCTGTCCCCCTGCTCACCTGCAGCTTGTACTCCCTGCGGTTAAGAATGACAGCTGTGATCTGCTGGTCCATGAAAATGAGGATGGTGACCAGGACAGCAGGCACTGCAGACACCAGGCAGACCCACCAGGGGTTGGCTCCAAAGGGGAAAATGATCCAGCCCCGTGCTGGGTTTGTGGGCTGTGGAGAGCAGAAGGGTCACGGCAGCTGCCACCCACTTGTGGGGTGTGTGGCACCTCTGGGTGATGGGACCAGCCCCAGGTGCCCAGGCTGGAGCCCTACAGGCACCCAAGGATGCCCCACCTCAGGAGTGGAAGAGCATCCTCACTCATCCTGGGGATGTTGCTGGTCAGAGTGACCCACCAGCCCCCTACAAGAAGACTCTGGCTGTGCCAGAGCAGGGTTTTGTTCTTGGACACCACAGGCCAAGAGCTGGACGTGTGACAGGAGGTGGAAGAGGTGGCATTGGGCAGTGATGATGGTGAGCCTGAGGAGGTGGTGGTGAGCACTGGCTGCTCTCGGGCACTGCCAGCCCCACTCCACACCCAGGGCAAGAAGCCCAAGCCTGGAGCTGAGTTTGTGGCTCTTGCTCCAGTGTGATCTGTATAGTCCAGGACTGAGCCAGGTTATCTACAGTGCATGGGATCAGCTGCGTTCGACCCTTTCTCATTTGCTGGGGTGCAGCCTGCACCCCTGTAGGGCTGGAGCCAGTGATGGGAAGGACAGTGACAGTGCACTGGGTGGCTACTGTGGTGGGCACAGACCCACACCCTGACAATGCGGTTCCCACCCTGCTGGCACCTTCAGCTCACTGGGGACAAGGAGCTTGGGGGTCTCCAGGCCCAGAGCAGCATCGACAGCGCAGGAGGCAAGGATGGCCAGGATGACAGCGAAGTCGCTCACCGTCTTCCGCACCTGCAGATGGACAGGGCTT